AACTATATAACTGATACTATGTTGACAATACCGCGCGAACCCCCTTATGTAGGTAATGTGGCGAGAAGGCGAGAGTGTAAACCATATTTTCTGTGCTAGTTTAATTGAAACGTTAGCCCAAAGGGAATATAAACAGAGACATGACCAAGTTGCAAAAGTAGTTCGTTGGAAGTTATATGAGAAATATCATCTCTTAAAGAAGGGTAAGTGGTACGAACACGTGCCTGACAGTGTAAGTAAAAAACGATGAAGTTAAACTACTGTGGGTTAATGAACATTCAATGTGAATATGTCATCAATAGTACAATAGACATGGTCATGTGTATGGAGCGCCAACAGGGTAGACTGGAGAAACAATTAATTTCTTGAACCTTTTCGGACGGCTAGGGTTGTATACGTCCCCATATGGTACAATGTATACAATTTTCCCTTGACCCATTTAGCTTTCAGTTAATGTTAATAAATTGGTAAGCAACAACGTTAGCAAAGATAGATCTTTCCAGCGAAACCTCCTTTTAGGATATTCTGACTTACCCTGGCAGAGTTAGACTCGTCAAAATAAGGTAAAATTTTGGGGAAAATTCCACTGCCAATTTCGCTGTTTACATACTACTACTTGAAAATTAAATTTGTCCCTTTCCTAATAAGTTAGCCAGCCACAATTCCATGCAAAAGAAAGACGATAAAGTGGGTAACAAATTACTGCCAATAAAGAGGAAAAAAAAGAGAGCGAGAGAGAAAGATCGAAATGGATTCACCAAGAAAAGTCCAAATTGTGGCTTTTGCGCGTGCCTGAGAAACAAAAAAGCTGTTTAGTTGGGCTTTGTTTTAAATATCCGCCTCTTACAGTCTTTCCTATATATGTCGTCCTAAACTATGACCAAACCTGCGAGAGCAGACAACTTTTTTGGCCCTTGTTTCACTCGCCGAGAAAAGGGCGTCTGCGATCCCGAGCTGCGAAACAATTTCCGTGAGCTGATGAGTCAGTTTTTTTTTTTCAACCAATCATAATTCAACTCTTATTTTCGTGGAGCTACCACATGTGGGGTTTGCTTGGGGACCTTTTTTGCAATGGCCGGCAGTTTTTTAAATTGGAAGGAGTACTATATGAAGTAGATCCTAAATATGTGGTATCCATGGGTTTTCTTGGAGGTAAAGAACGAATTCGAATACCCATAAACAGTAAGCATTCATCCCGTGAAGCTCTTAAGCACCACATCATTGAGTACACTGGTTCGAAATCTGAGTCCGAAAAACGTGGTCTAATAAGATCCTCGATTGAAATAAAACTCTGTCGGTTAGAAAAGTCTGCAGAATGAAGCAAAGCTTCTTCGGTAAATAACGACGAAAAGGAGGATGGAATGACTTTTCTACGAGCAGTTACCATACTCGTCGCGGAAAGACCGTCAAGACAAGGGAGAGTCAAATGACGTTCCTTTTGAGTACTATATATCCGTCAGCATTAGTAATCATCAGTTTACCTTCACCTACATTTGATTGTATGTTTACCTGACTTCCGTTACTTCCCTGCGGTAGTTGTGCGGGAGGCAAAAAAAGGAAAAAATCGACTCTACTATTAAACGTCAATTAAGTGGTAACTCATCATTAACTCTGCAGACAGCGGCATCCTGAAAAGGTCCAGCCATACACTGTCCCTTTACTTCGGAAATTTCCGTGAAATGTGAACACGGAATTTTAATCCCCGTGATGCGTTATTTCTACTTTTTAATGTCCGTGATTCGTGCGTAAGACCCCCCCCTTTCTCCCCTCTGCTTAGGCTTTCATCTTCCCATCTGATAAGGAATAACTTTCCTTGCCACTTTTTGTCTTTAGCGATCTCCAAGAACTGCTTCTCTTGAGATTTCTTCAAGAGATTCCCAGCTCTTGCAGCAGTCACCACCTTTCCTTCCGTTGTAACACACACGGGATTTAGGGTATCAAGCTGAAGTGTGATGTTGAGTTCTTCAGCGTACTTAGCTGCTTCCTTTTCAAGCGACTGGTGGCCCGATGTCATGGCGTGTTCTTCAAATTCTCTAACTGCTTCCAGAGTCTGGTCCGAATTCTGATACAATTTCAGTAGCGATTTGTTTCTAGTGATCTTGTACTCGTGTTCGACTGATCACAGGCCTCTACCCCCTTTCGCACTCGCTAGATATAACAAAGAAGTTAGGCTAGCTGGGTGCTTGCCACCGTTCTCAACTATGATTTTCCGAGCTGCTCTGTCCACATCTCTTAACTCTGATAGAGGCCAATGCTGTGTCCACGTTAAGTACCGCAGCGCCAGGAGTGTATACTGATTAGTTTCCTGTACACGGTCACAATCAGATAGGGGGCTGGACCATATAATAGATATCCTGCGTAGATACTCTTTAGCCGCACAGCCGTTCATCCTGTCGAACGTTCTCTAGCACCCCCTGGAATTTGTAGTTTTTTTCCATTCCCAATTAAGAGCCGTGATGGTAGTTGTCTCGTCCATCCTCAAACCAGACTCGTCTAGCACTTGGGCTCCCCTCTTCACGTGTACCACTGAGTACCTTTTTTTATTCCAGTGGAGGCCGATATCCTGCATCTCTCCTCTAGTCTCCTTCAGCACTTGGTTCAGCTTGCTCTCGGAGGCAGCAAAAACCTTCAGGTCGTCGATATACAGGAGATCGGTGATTTTGACTCCTATAGGCTTGGATAACCGGTATCCCTCCGTTGCCTGCAGGGGCCACGCTACTGGGTTCAGCCGCAGTGTAAACAATCTAGGGCACAAAGCGTCCCCCTGGGGTAGTCCCTTCATGAACCGTATTTTTCTGGAAGTCATTCGCCCTTGCCTTGTTGTAGATACTACTCTACTATTCCAGCTCGCACACAACTTGCATATGGCCTTACCCAGCCAGATGGGAAGCCTGTGTACGTCAGTCATTGGGCATAGCCAATCATGGTCGACGGAGTCGTTGGCTTTGCGCACTTCAATCCATGCCATGCTTAAATTCCGTTTGCCTCTCTGGCAATCCAGCATTACTGCTCTATCGATTAGCAAGTTATCCATCGTACCAAAACACCCTGATTTGGCTCTTCTTTGCTGGCCTTCCATCAGGCCATAATGTTCAAGGTGTTGGTCCATGGGTGCCATGAGGCAAGATGTAAACCACTTATGCATGTTATTCAGACAAGGAATAGGTCTTTGATTTTAACTCAGGAACTCGCCTTCTTTCGGAATGAGGGAGGTTTTCCCTTCAGAAACCACTCGAGGTTATCTTCGTCGCTCGTAGAAACTTCTTTGAAGCTCTCGACCACACCCTTGTGCAGGGTGCTAGCACGTTTTCACCAAAAGTTAGTGATTTTATCAGGCCCTGGCACATTCCAGTTGCGCTTCTTGGACAGGAATTTCACCGCTTCGTCGCCTGCTGACGGTGGTACTTGCACGTGGATCGCGATCTTTACTTCCTGCAACCAGGCCGCGTTCTTATTCCCAGTCCCTCTCTCTTCCCACAGCTTTCTCCAAAACCCGCTCGCCTCTTCAATGTTTTCAAACATTCGCGAATCATCTCGAGCACGTTTTCCAGGATCTTTAAATCTCGGTCCCTCATTCTCTGGGTCCCTCTTCAACGTCTCACTCAAATTGGCAAACACTCTTTCAGGGACCGTGTAAAACCGTTGGTTAATCACACGCGAGACCTCTTGTTTCTTTCTTTCTTTTTTTTTTTTTCAAGCCCACGTTCTAACTTTCAGAGCTCCGACTCTTTTTTCTCTATGTAGCTAACCAAACCTTCCACAGAGATGGTTTTGCATTCTCTTTGGAGCTGAGACCTCTTTCCCCTTCCTTTTTTCGTGATCTTTCTATTTTCTTTCAACCTTTCGATTTCTGCTTTCGCGAATGACAGTTGTTTTCTGATCTTCCCCTCCTCCTGGTCGTAAATTGTTTTAAGCTTTCCCTTTCTGTCCTTCTGTTGGTCCGTCTTCATTGGCCCTTGTTTTTTTCCATCCTTTCATCAGCAAAAACGCGCAAATCATAACCGAGTAAAGAACGCAATTAGCTAAACATAGAAAACAAAACGGGATCTGCGTTGGTGTTACCTCGTAGCGCTCCATTAGTAACATTAATCGCTTGGTTGATTTCTTCCAAGTATTTTGTTGATGGTGTTTCTTTTCTCCTGGTGTCGATGTCACGTTGGGAATAGTCTCCAGGGTGGGTCCTAATTGTTTCCATTATCCTGTTTGCTGGCTCTAAATAGGTGCACCTTTCTTGATCACCGTTGTTAAGCTGTTGTTCTTGGGTCAAGGTTGTATCCAAATCCGGTTCTGAGAAAAGATCACCATTGTCACGCTGTTAATATTGGGTCAGGGTTGTATGCAAATTTGGTTCTTCCTGATCAGCATTTTTTGCTATTTGGCGTCCGTTGTTTAAGGACCCTTCCGAGTTATCTCCACCTCTGTTCGCTTTTATTCCGTTAGTGATAGTACTAGTTACGCTGCCTAAGGATTTTTCAAGTCGAGCGACTTGGTCTCGTAAATTCCGCTTTGTGAACTCCATATTTTTGTGCCCCATTTGATCCCATAGTTGTTTCATGAGTTCTATATAACCCTGCGTCTTCCTTTATCCTTAACTGGCGGATTCTCTGATTATAATCATTATCATTATCATTATCATTATTATTATTATTATTATTACTAATTTTTTTTTCGCCTTTTCCCCCACTGCGGAGCTCGGATCTTACGCTAACGAAAAGTCAGTATCACAACTTAATTTGAGGTTACCTCTCCCATTTCGGGCACATGCACAACTGTATCCTTTCTAAGATAACACCACAGAGTAATATTACTGACTTGTTGCTGGAACATTTGTATAGAGCCTCATAAAATTTTGTTAAAGCAAAGACTTAAGTTACACGCGCGGGGATAAAAAGTCTGAAATTTTTCCTTATACCAACCAAATAAAAATCTTACTAATGATCTTGCTAACACACCCTTTGTTCTTCCCATATTACAGTTTAGGGATATGTGTTCCTTTTTCAGATGTTGACGAATGCAGTGCTTCTTCTCCTGTATGTGACAGCAATGCCAACTGCTCCAATACTCGTGGATCGTATAGCTGTAACTGCAGGGCAGGATATACAGGCGATGGAAAAACATGCCAAGGTAGGTTTGAAAATGTCAGGTTAACACAGAGGGTTAGGGAAGTTTTTCTTTATACCAACCGAATAAAAATCTTACTAATGGTCTTGTTAAAACACCCTTTGGTCTTCCCATATTGCAGTTTAGGGATATGTGTTCCTTTTTCAGATGTTGACGAATGCAGTGCTTCTTCTCCTGTATGTGACAGCAATTCCAACTGCTCCAATACTCGTGGATCGTATATCTGTACCTGCAAGTCAGGATATACAGGCGATGGAAAAACATGCCAAGGTAGGTTTGAAAATGTCAGGTTAAGACAGATGGTTAGGGATGTCTTTTAATTTTACATCTTGTGGCAACAATGAAGAAACTTTTCTGGCAACTTTTAATTTTATCCGACAATGGCGGCCGTTAAGAACGGCTATTAACAACAGCCGTCGAATTTTTTGTTTTCGCAGCCAAGTGAGATAATGCCTTGGGCTGTGTTTCGTACCTTCTGTACTTACTAGACTCGTTAACACAAAATCATGAAACAAAATAGGCCAAAAATCAACAAATGATGGAGAATATTTGATACGGCTTGTGTAGAACGCCATGACCCACTTCAATCATAGACAAAAAGTGAAAACAGCTACAGCAAATGCAGTAAACTAAAGCTACATGTAAGCCTACCGGGGTGGCCAGAAAAAAACCTGTCCCAAACAACCTCGTAGGGGAAAAGACAAGAAATTTGGGGCGGGCAAGGCACGACTTACTTCGTTGGCTGCATAAAAGGCCTGCACAAGTGAACAAAACCTAGAGGCTGTAAAGGCTCCGCGTAGTAAACTACAAGTTTATTTCATAATAGTAATACCACAGTTTAATATTACTGACTCATAGCTGGAACTTTTGTATAAAGCTTCATAAACCAAGTTTTGTTAAAGCAAGGACTTAAGTTACACGAGCGGGGATAGAAAGTCTCAATTTTTTTTTACACCAACCAAATAAATGGCCAGAAAATACCTGTCCGAAGCAACCTCGTAGGACAAAAATACAGGAAATCTGGGGGGAAGGCACAGCTTACTTCGTTGGCTGCATAAAAGGCCTGCGCAAGTGAACAAAACCTAGAGGCTCTACAGGCTGCACGTAGTAATTTGCAAAAAATGCACCAAACGTTGTGCAAATGATTACTGGCTTGACCTCAGCTCTGTGCTAGCATTCAGTCTGCTGTGGAGACAGGTAATACCAAGGCTATGTAGAGGGAATCAAGCAGGCACTTGGTCCTTCTCAGAAGGAAACAGCCCCCTTCAAATCTGCTACAGGCGAGATAATTATCCAGGAGGGAGCGCAACAGAAGGAGCGCTTTGTAGACTGTTTTTTTGAGCTGTATGCCAGGGAGAATTTGGTGCCTGAAGAAGCCCTGATGAACGCCATAAAGTGCTTACCTGTTCTGGGGGAGCTGGATATTGAACCTACAGAAGAGGAGGTGAAAGAGGCCTTGGGTTCGCCTTCCTCTGGAAAGAGCCCTGTTAGGACGGTTTTCCAGCTGAAATCCTGAATTGCATGCAGCAAAGACGATGCTTTCACCAAGCTCTACGAAATCCTGTCTGCGCTGGCAAGAGGTTGAGGTATCATAAGACATGAGAGCGGCAAACATAGGGACTGGAGAGATTGCTTCAACTACCAACGCATCACCCTCCTTACCATCGCTGATTAACTGTTTGTTTAAGTTGTCCTAAAGCGTCGTCGAACGCTTGCAGAGGGAGTTTATCCAGAGTCACACTGTGGTTTCCAGGACAGACGCTAAACTATTGATTTGATATTCTCCACCAGACAATTACATGAAAAATGTGGGAAACAGAGACACCCACTGTACATCTCATTAATTGACCTCACTAAGGCTTTTGATCTAGTAAGCAGAGTTGGGCTCTTCAAGATCCTCCCGAAATTTGACTGACCAGCGAAAATCCTCGGTATCATCAAATCTTTTCATAATGATCAACCTCTGATACCTTTAATATGGTTCCCACCTTATTTGGAATCGTCTTCGTCATTCTGCTGAAACACGCCTCTGGACCTTCAATTGAAGGAATGTACCTCCGAACGAGATCTTATGGTAAATTCTTCATCCTTACCAGATGGAAAGCCAAGACCAAGATTGGTGAGAAGCGCTTACGCAACTTCCTTTGCGCTGATAATGCAGCAGCAACCACACACTCTGCGGATAAAGCGAAACAACACATGAATCGCTTTAGCTCTCCCTGCAAGTATTTCAGACTTACTATCAACCTGAAGAAAACACAAGTAACTGGACAAGATGTCACCAGTCCACCTACAACCAGTTGCAAAAATGATGAGACACGCCCACGGAAAAACGACCTTTCTTGCTTCAAATCGCTCCTGGTCACAGGCCTGTAAAATATAATACTGACCTCCCTCCTCCCTCCCATTCAAAGTTGTTCCTCCAAGGTTTGAGTATGGTCTTGTATTGCTAGCAACTTTGATAAGGGGTGGAGGGGGGATCACAAGCACAAGATCATGGACAGGCCATTTATGCCAAAATACGGTACAGTGTCTCGAGTACTTTTGCAACTGGTTGTAGCATCAAAATATTTGACCAGCAGATTGAAGTTGTTCATGATTCTACATCCATTTGCTCTACTTGAAGAGAAAGTCTCTGACTCCGCGATATTAAGTTAAACAAGAGAATAGAAAAAGTAGCAACCACGGTATTTAGTCATTCAAAGAGAGCAACAAACTGACCGAACACACCAAGGTCATGGTATATAAAGCTTGCGTGTCGAGCACCATCTCGTGTGGTGGCGATTCCTTGACTTTTCGTGTCAACAAGAAACGCAAACGTCAGTTTTCTTGGTTGTGAGTTGTTACCATTCATTGGGGTTTTCGTTGCCAATATGATGCTCAAATGTGGCGCGGATAAGATACGTGTATAACACATTACGTTTATTGAGTTAAATGTAAGATATCGGTCGGTGCTATGGTTACATGCAGGGGTTTCAAAAAGCACCGACGACCGCCGAAACGTGTCAATTACTTTGCTTGGAGAAGCCGGCTACGTTTTTCCCAAAAGAAGAAACAACAAGTTTTAGTTGTTTCTTTAAAAAAAGTTATAATAATATCATAAAATATAAATAAAACGGTAATGATAATATTGCATAAAGGCATACAGTGTACTTGTATTTTATGTTTTTATAGTTAAGACAATGCGGTGTTTTAGTCATACCACGGAAGCTAGAGACGTTTTGCTTAACCCAGTAAGATGGATTTTGATAGATTAGAGCACCTTATTTTTGCCTAGCTAGATGGTTCGTGGTTTCAAATTTATGGCTATGCTTTTAAAAGCCGACAACAGAGAAAATGAATTCAACAAGAAAACGAGGCTGAAAGTCGCAGCCATATAAATTCTGAGAAACGCACTCCACGAGAAAACCAACATGCTCATACGTCTCCTAAACAAATCTTATGTTTTTAGAAAGTAGTTCTGTGGTGTGCAGTTGTGCGCTGTAATTTCAATTCAAAAATGCCTCGTTTGCAGACACTGAGTTTAGGTCAGATAAAATAAGAAAATTTTAGTCTTGTCCTTGGCTACTTAACAAATCTTATGGTTTTAGAAAGTAGTTCTGTGGTGTGTTGTGTCGCACACAAAAAACACACTTCGCTCGTTAAATTTTGCGGGTTCTGTGAGTTTAAGAAAATGGTGAAAATTTGCTTATAAAAATGGCGTCCGAGGAGGTCGAATAAAGTGATGCTTGTATCTCTAATACAAGGGCAGTGAGGAACCTATGTTTGGTATATTTGTCCATTACTCCACCAGACCTATCTATGGTGTTAGTATGAACTTATTCTGTTGACCCCCTTCCGTTGACATTTTTAACATTTTGCCCGGTTTTCTCCGACAACCACTCTTAAGACACTGACAAGAGGTAGACAATACAAATTTGGTAGTTTTTATGCATATTAAAAGGGATAAGGATTTACTTCCAGTTGGCGTGCATCGCTCAAAGAAAACCTGTTTCAATTTAAAGCGCCAAAAAAGCTTGAAATAGAAAATCGTAAGGACGCTAGCTTAACATGACAAAAGACGTGGCTACGAAGCATCTGAATGTTTCAATTAAGAGATCTTGAAGTGGATGTTACCTGTACATTTATGTTGTCCACTTTTAAAATACCCTTTGTGACAGTAACACTTGAAGGATCCTTTAGTGTTAACGCACACTGAAATAGCTTCATCACATTGATGTTTTTCTGTATTACACTCGTCTACGTCTGCAAATTATAAGGCTATATTATCAGACTAACCAAGTTCGATTCTTATTCCTACTGAATGAGGGATAGTAGTACAATGCATTCGAACGGTAACTCTGAAATGTTCTCCGCTTGAATTAGTTTTCCAAAACAAAAGCAATAACAAGGAGCACTTCTTTTGTTTATTTTGTTTCATGCTACTTATAACAACGACATGCCACTGAGATAAATTAATACGTATATGTAATCCTGTTTCACACTCGTCTGCAAATCAGCAAGTAGAATCGAAGTTACTTATAAGAATTTCTTTCTTCCTTTACCTGTAAAGTTAGTTTTCACACTTTAAGCCAGCTTAACAGTTGTTTTGATTATTTATAGTTGCAATTATACTTGAGCCCAAACAACTGAGATCATGATCTCCTGGTTCAAATTATTATAAACTATGAAAAATATATATTTGTTGACGTACTTTCAGCAAGAATCCTATTGAGAAAACGTTGGTCTCAATACTCCAATCAAAAAATGTTGCATCCCTTGGGGCCCCATGTCGTATCGTGTTGCTAGGCTACGTGGTCGCTATGCAAGTGAAATTGAACTTCTGGTCTTAGTATCTCGCGTGCTTTTGGACTGACGTCCGCGCGGGATAATTGTGAGTTTACGCAACAGGATGGCAGGAAGAAGAGGACGCCAAAACGCTTGTGCGTGACAAAAGTGACAGGCTATGACTATTACGTACGCGTTTTGTCGTGATATTCACCTAACATTAACGTTTACTAGTCTTTACAGAAAAATTCCGTTTAAAGGAGAGTGAAGTTTGGCGAAAAGTTGATTCAAACAAAATTATTGTCATGGTTGTTACACAAGGTTTGCCGTCTTCTTTCCTCTCCCGTCCGGTAGCGTCATTAAATTCACTAAGAGTGAGCTTACGCAACAGTACGGGAGAGGAAAGAACAAGGCAAACCTTGTGTAACAAGCGTGAAAATAATTTTGTTTGAAAAACTTTTCCGCCGAACTTCCCCTACCTTTAAACAGGTCTTTTTTT